ACATCAACACAAGTGTATGATGATCAATTTAAATTGAAAAATGAGAAAGAGATAAAAAGTAAGAGAGAATATAGTGAGGTGGCTAATAGTGACAAAAAGGAGTAGAGCTACAAGAGCAAAAAGAAAAAAAAGATTCTTCTGAGAGGAAAGAAAAGTCGAAAGTGAATTTCTTTGCAAAAAGGGAGTGAGTTGAAAAGGGTAATAGTTCAGAGTCAAACAATGATCTTGCTGGTCTATAAAGAGTCAATCCTCAATTTTGGGGAATCTAACGCATCCCTCCCTAGTTTGGCTACTTTTTTATTGCAAAATTTCAAGAAGTGTTCCTAGAGGAAATGCGTAGTGGGTTACCACCCATTAGATGTATTGAACATCAAATTGACTTCGTACCTGGATCAGTCATTCCAAACCAACCGGCTTACTGAAGTAACCTCAAGGAGACAAAGGAACTTCAAAGGCAAGTGAAGGAATTGATAAGCAAGGGGTAGTATGAGACCATGTGCAGTGCCAATGCTACTTGTGCCAAAGAAAGATGGAACCTGGAGAATGTGTATGGATTGCAGGGCCATCAATAACATAACTGTAAAGTATCGTCATCATATTCCTAAGTTAGATGATATGTTGGATGAATTACATGGTGCATGCATATTTAGTAAAATTGATCTTAAAAGTGATTACTGTCAAATTAAAATGAGGGAAGAAGATGAATGAAAATTTAAAACTAAAAATGGATTGTATAAATGATTAGTTATGCCATTCGGACTTACTAATGCACCTAATACTTTTATGCGATTGATGAATCATGTTTTACCTGTATTCATAGGTAAATTTATAGCGGTGTACTTAAATAATCTCTTGATTTATAGTAAGGACTTATATGAGCCTATAGGACATTTATGATGTGTTCTTGTGGTCTTAAAGCAAGAACAACTTTATGCCATTTTAAAAGGTATATGTTTTGCATGGAAAAAGCTGTCTTTCTTCGGTATGTGGTTAGTGCAAAGGGGATAGATGTAAATGAAGAGAAAATCAATGCTATTAAGGAATGACCAACACCTAAAAGCATAACTGAGGTAAAGAACTTTCACGGGTCAACTAGTTTCTATAGACGTTTTGTTAAAGACTTTAGCACAATTGCCATACCAGTCACAAAAATCGTAAAGAAAAGTATAGGATTTCACTGGTGTGTTGAGCATGAATATGCATTTAACACTATTAAAGATAGATTGTGTAAGACACTGGTTTTATCACTTCCTAACTTTGACAAAACTTTTGAAATTGAATTTGATGTTTCAGGGATAGGTATTGGAGCTGTTTTAATGCAGGATATAAAAACTGATAGCTTATTTCAAAGAAAAGCTAAGTGGGGCAGTTCTCAATTATCTTACATATAATAATAAGTTGTATGCATTTATTCGAGCTTTGGAAATATGGTAGCACTACTTATGGCCAAAAGAGTTTGAGATTCACACTAATCATGAGTCCTTGAAGCATTTGAGAAGTCAAGATAAGCTAAATAAAACACATGCAAGATGGATGGAGTTTATTGAGTCATTCTCATATGTCATTCGATACAAACAAGGTAAATATAACGTAGTAGCGGATGGATTGTCAAGAAGGTATGTGCTTTTAATTTCATTGAGCGTTAAATTGTTTGGATTTGAATATGTTAAGGACATGTATGCACATGACTCGAATTTTTCTAATGTATACGAATCATGTGGTGAAGGGGTTGTTGATAGGTTCTTTAAGCATAACAGTTATCTATTTCGGGAAAATAAATTATGTTACTAATTGTTCAATGAGAGAGTTGTTAGCAAGAGAAGCACATAGTGGAGGATTAATGGGATATTTTGGGGTTAAGAAGACATTAGAGATACTAGGTGAACATTTTTATTAGCCTAAGATGAAAATCGATGTTGATCGAATTTGTAATAGATGCATTACTTTCAAAAAGGCTAAGACTAAAGTCTTACCTCAATTATCGTACATACCTTTATTGGTCTCTAGTGAGTCTAGGGTTGACATTTCTATAGACTTCGTTTTGGGTTTACCTAGGACTAAGAAAGAACGAGTTTCGATATTTGTGGTGGTAGATAGATTTAGTAAAATGGCGCACTTCATTCCATGCCATTGAACTGATGACGCTACAAAAATTGCGGATCTATTCTTTAAGGAACTAGTGCATTTACATGGGATTCTTTGGAGCACTGTATCGGATAGGGATGTTAAATTCGTTAGTCACTTTTGGAGAGTTTTGTAGAATAAGTTAGGTATAAAGTTATTGTTTTCTACAACTTGTCACCCACAAACGGATGGACAAATTGAGTTAGTTAATAGGACCAAGATAGAATTGCTAAGCACTATAGTTAATAAAAACTTGAAGATTTAGGTAGAGTACTTATCATTTGTTGAGTTTGTATATAATAGGGCCACACATTTTACTACTTCATGTTCACCGTTTAAAATTGTATATGGTTTTAATTCATTGACACCTTTGGATTTAATTTATTTATCTGTTAACAAGCACGGTAGTTTATATGGAAAGAAGAAGGCTGAATTGGTAAGGGCGGATGCAAATTGAAAAGAAAAGTAAACACCATGCGTCGCAAGCCAACAAGGGCCGGAAGAGCATTACATTTGAAACTGGTGATTGGGTTTGGATACACTTGAGAAATGAACTCTTTTCAGAACAAAGAAAATCAAAGTTGCAGTTATGAAGAGATGGTCCATTTCAAGTTCTTGAAAGGACTAACGATAATGCCTACAAGCTAGATCTTCCTGATGAGTATAATATTTCGGCTACCTTTAATGTGTCTGGTCTTCCGCTCTTTAATGCATGTACATATTCGAGTCGAATCCTTTCAAAGAGGGAGAGGATGATGTGATATAAGCAACGAATACAAGTCCGAGCAAAGACCCGCTGATTGTTGAAGAAGGTCCCATGACTCGGTCGCAAACAAAGAGGGTCAAAGAAGCAAAGAGATTACTTGTTCAAGCTACAATGGATGAAACATTAGTTGTTACAAGTAAAGGGACAAGTTTCATGTTAGACTCGAAAGTCGAAGCGTGATGGATCATCCGATTCAAGCAACGGAAGACGGCCTAACAGGATCAACTATGTGACTGCATAGTTCTTCCTTGCATGTGGTCACATGCGTCCTTACCTAGAGCAAAGAGGAGGTAGCCAGTAGATCTATGCGGCCTCATAGAGTAATTTCTGGCCGGAATTTTCCAAATTTTGTGAATTTCCTAATTGTATTAAAACACTAATTTTTTGGTAACTTTTATAATCTTTTAAGATTCTTTTCTGTTTTTAATTAGGTTTACATGGGTTCCCTATAAATAGGACCTACTATTCTACATTGTCAACAATTCATTATTCATATCAATTGAGAGATTATTTATGAGCGTTCAAACTTATCAAGATTTTTTAATCCTTGTGGCGTTCAAACTTTTCAGGTGAGATTTTCAAGTCTTGTGATCAAGATATCAACATATTGTCGGTGATTTTTGATTACTTGGTTCAATATTCGTGGGTCAAAATAAAAACTTTGTGATTTCTTGACTTTCTTTGGTTGTGATTCAGTCTTATGTGGGTTTTGTAGTCTCCATTGCTACGTAGGTTTACATGAACTAGTATAATTGCTAGCTATTTTATTGATACAAATATTTTTGAATGTAAGCATTAGACAATGATTATGTGCAAATGAAGAGAAGTGTATGCTCCAGTGTACTAGATGTTACTACATTTATATCATTACTAGCTTTTTGATAGATGTAAATATTTTTGAATGCAAGTATCGGACAGTGAAAGGGGTGTTAACATCATAATGGAACATACTTGACAACATGATAGTTTTCACGTTGAATGCTAGAAGTCGAAAATTTAGGTATTCTTGTAGTTCATTAAGAATTTAATATGTTTGAATATGTCTGCTTGGTGATTAAGAATTTAATATGTTTGAATATGTCTACTTGGTGATATACTTGTTTCAATTCTGCTATAGGGACAGTGAATTACATGATTTTATACACACGTACACTTGGCATTTTCTCATTGGCAGTTAAAAGAAATTTAAGAAGACACTGCCAACCAAAAATTGTCACTTCATTCCCTTGAAAATATCCCAGTCATTGACCCCGTTTGTTTAACATTTTCCTTTTCGTTTATATTTTTGAGTTTTATAGAACACTAGAAGGATAACATATCTTTCATATTATCGGTGACATTAATGTTGCACGATTTTCTACACATGGAATAAAATAAGATATTTGAAAATGAGCATAATATTTCTAAAATTTATGTTTGGACGAAATCACCTTAAACGAAATAAAATCAAAGTATAATTATACAATTAAACAACATTTACGTAAAACTATCAGTAAGGGATGATGATCGAGTTTAATTTGACTCTATCCCTTATTATATTTTATCACTGAAATAATTCAATAAAATATTCAACTTGGGACGAAATTTCTAAACACAAAGTTACAAAACATTAAACAAGGAAAAAAAAGAAAAGAAAAAGAAGATCATGTTTTCCATATTGTCTCATTGTCATTTTGACAAGTTTAGTTGCTAAACTCGATTAGTTAAAGTACATTGAGCAATCAAATATATCTGTCAAAGTATACTGAACAATTAAAGATATCTTGCTTTCGTGGACTGTATTTCTTTCGTGGTTGGGCATATAAAATCTGTCTATCAAGTCAGCTATCTCATTAGAAATGTGAAATGTTAGCCCCTGTTTGTGCCACATTTTGAAGGAAATTAATAGAATTTTTTTGACCGTTGAAGCTGCAGGTGGGATTCACGTTAAAGACAATCAATCAAAAGTTGCAGCTTGACTTGTACTTCAACGGTCCAATAATTCCGCACAAACAAACGCTAAATGATTTCAACGAGTAAAGTTTGATAGCTTGATAAGTTTATTTAACAAAACTTAATATCTTAAAGTGTAGTAAGCAATCTACTATGCCGACCAAAATTTTGCGAATATTTGAATAATTAATCTCCTTTTAAAGCAGCCAATCATTGATGCTGATGGTTTCCTCGTTCCTTGAAAATGAAGATACCAGATACCTTGTTGGCAGCAAAGACGAAGACAAAAAGCCTCCTAAATATATTTAACAGGAAAAGACAAGCTTGGGTTTCATTGTTCTGTAACTAAGCATGAAATGTATATTATAAACTGGTTTTCTATCCAGCTTTGCTTGTCCTATGCTGATTACAGCCCGACATTACATTCATCGTCTTCTCCGATGTTTAATCCTTGTAGACATCGTAGGGTCAAATATACCCATAACCATTTCTCCTTAAATGCCCCTTGTTCTTACCATCAGCCATTTACCTCTCGATTGAATTTGGAATCTTTGCTTAACCGAATCTTAATTCTCTTTTTTCTTTGTTTTTCACAGCCTCCTCATTTCATTTTCACTGTCATATTTTCCACCAAACATCTAGGTGGCACTGGGTTGAGAGCAAAGCATTTTCCGAGCCTTAAAAGAAGTTATGCTTTGAAAATTTTGGATATACCCTACAGTTGTTCGACGAAATTCCTGGTGTTTGGTGAAAGATGGACGGTTCATTAAGGTACAATAGGAGAAGAAGCGGATATGAGCCATCTGATACTGAAAGTGATTGGCCTAACAGTCCCCGGCGTGAGCGATACACGAATGTAGAATTTGAAAATGTGGGCTATGATCAAGGTGGGAGCACTAGCCCTTTGAGGACTCTTAAATTTGAGGCTCCTCCTCGAAGAAGGCACAGCAAGTCCCCGTATAAACCTCGTGGAGAAGATGGTGCTGCTCGTTCGCCCTTATATGTTTCTGATTTACATAGAAATATTAGCCCACTTTCACGTAGAACACGTTCAAATGAAAATGTAGGTCCATTTTCAAAATCTGGACGCAGGACTAATCCCGATGATAAAGGAAATGTTAGTCCATTTTTGAAATATGAAAGCAGAACTAATTCTGATGATAGAGGAAATCTTAGTCCATTTTTGAGAGCTGAACGCAGTACTAATCCTGATAACCAAGGAAACGTTGGCCTGTTTTTCATGTCAGAACGCAGGAGACATGTTTCTCCATACAGACCTGGTGGAGTGGACCATGATCTGGATGGTGATAAGATTGTTACCAGTGGTCGAAAGAAAAGTCTTAAACTGGCTAATCATGATGTGAGGAGGAGTGAGAAATTCAATCATAGTAGGAGAGCAGTTTCAGCTCCTAGATCAAATTTGAGAGAAATGGACCAAAAGATCAAATATGAATATGATCAAGGGGAACAAAGAAAAGAGTTAGATGCTTCTCATAAACATGGCCCGTCAGTTGGTGAAATCAATGAAATTGTTGCAAATGCCAAGCTTTTGAAATGGTTGGATAGCCGTGCTCCTGCTTCCAACTTTGACAGCACAGCCTCCATCTCTCCTGGAGGCATTTTCTTTTCACGGGAATATACTGCCTTTCCAAATTCCATCTTTCCGAAAAATGGTGTTGTTGATCAAAATAAATCTAACCCAAAGCCTCAAGTTTTTGTTGATCGAAATCCCAGCCCTCATCTAGGCAATAAGGTGAATTTGAATTTCGACCATAATTCTCGGTCGATGTCGCACACAGCTACAAACTCTAGAGCTGCTGTAAGTAGACTGAGCAGTAATGTGAGTGACTCTAGTGGCAGGACGACTGCAAGTACAAAAAAATTTGTAGCGAACAGGAGAAAGAGCCAAATAGAACCATGGTTTTCTTGCCTGAAGAAAGGGTCTTGCATGAGCTCCGACAAATCTCCAGAAAAAGACAGGCCTTTTGATGAAACTTCATTTATTGAGAAGGCAATCGTGATTGAGAACCTGAGACCACTTTGGGCTGATAAACATCAGCCTGCTTCATTGGATGGATTCACTTGCCACAAGAAAGAAGCTCTGCTTCTTCAGGAACTTGTAAGTGCCTTTTAAGTCCTGATTTGGATGCTGGCCTTCTATCTCTAACAGAATAATTAAATTATCATGTAAATGCAGAGAATTTTTATTTTTGGGTAACTTATGTGCTGAATTATAGAATTTACCTCTCGTAATATTTTGGAGATTAAAACTCATAGCTTTTTTTACCCTTTCTTTATTTTTCAGTTGTTATAAGTTTTTTATAATTTCATTTTCTTTTTGCACTTAGGCATGCAATGAAACCTTCCCACATATCTTGCTGAAGGGACCTCCTGGTGCCGATAAAAAGGCACTGACTATGGCTCTT